GTAAATGTCATTATACCGATCTGATGCAATGAGAGCATCCATTGGAGCTCTCTCTCGTCTGTAACGACGTTTTTGACAATCCATCCTTGGTTTTCTACAGAAGATTCGTCTATTGGTTGCCCATTTTCTGAAACCACAGCCATACTGATGTACTTGCCGCTACCAATAACAGGAACCATTTTCTTACATTCTTCTTTCCATGCACCGTACTGCTCCCTTTAATGATCAATGCATGCCATTTAAAGTTAGCCATGACAATCTACAAACTAGTTGAGCTTTGAGTAGGATGGCTTAATGATTGACCATTCCACAACCAATTGAAGAGTACCTTCTGCGATTCCTCAGCTTGTTCCTTTCCTCGAAAGTACTGTCTGGATCATAGCATCCTAACAAAAACTCCCAAACAGCGCCTTTGATCGATGGATGAATCCCCTGCAAAAGAAACAAAGTGAACAAACAAAAACAAGGGCCATATATGATGAAAATGACAAGAAAGTAGACTGACTCCACGCTGTATACGTCTAAGGACTTTTTCCATATCCAAATGTCCATCTTCAGTAAACGCAGCGTGCCACCTTCTAGCACTTAGAGTTTTTCCAGCCTACAAGTTACATATCAACTACTAAGAACAAGAGCTATAAGAGATCAAGATTCCTCAAGAACATGAATGGTGATAAAAAAGAAGAAGAAGACAAACCCTTGATTTAAAACGGGTCCTTGGAACATCAGCTAGACATTCAGGTCTAACTGGATAGAAACCTTGCAAATCTTCTCCTCCGGATTTCCACATAAATCCGCAGCAAAACATTCAACTTTCTTGTCGGTTTTTGTTTCTCAAACCAAACTGAGGGAAAGAATAAAAGACAGAATCAGATACTAAATGGTTTTGCTTACATGGGTCAATAACATCTTAGCATCCCAAGAACAACAACATTGCAAAATCAGCATCTCAGAACATGATCATTTTAGATAATCCAATAGACTAAATCAATTAAAAGGAATAGGAACAAAAGAATACGTACATGTACAGATTTTTGAGATCCTAAAGTGTCGGATTTTCGACAATATTCAGACACATGCCCGTCTTCTTCTTCTTCCGATTTTCCTTCCATCTTTCTATTTCTAGGAGAGACTGCAAAATCAACCCAATTTATGATTCCGGTTCGTTGAACCGATTGGTTTTGATTTTTAACCGGATTGCCCACTTCAATTGTTAAAACGACGCCGCATATACATTTATTATTTAGATTATATTGCAAAAGCCCCTGATTAATCTCACCGGTAAATTCCAAATAATCTTTCGCAACATAATTTAGCAAAATTTTCCAAAAATCCCCTAATTAATCTCACAATGATGGCTAAAATCAAGGTTGGTATATTCTTGGTTTCTTTTGCATCCATACAAAAATGTTCTACTCCACTTCATGTTTATATTGTCCCAACTTTTCTCTCTTTATCTACTAATACATTTATCTACTAATACATTCAACTAGGTGATCGGCCCTCATCGTATGCGGGTATGAAACTTTTTAACGAATTTCGTTAATTCTGATATTTAATAAAACGATTATCTCATTTATAAATATTAAATATGCATCGTTCTTCTTCTTTTTTCTCAAGGTATAATTTTAACTTAAAAAAATTGTTTTAATATTTATAAAGATTTTAAAAGAGATGAAAAACTTTAAGAATTCTCATGTATTTTAGTATTTTTTGTTTAGTTTAAATGTGTTAGAAAGTGTAGAAGTTATGCGTTCAAACAAATAACAATATATAGTTTTCACTTAATCATCTAACGATTCCATATAGGATTGTAAAGTCTTCAAAACCATCTATGAGTTTTTCATTTTGGAAACACAAGTTTTCACATCAAAATTACTTCAAAATATGTGATCTCATAAAATAAACCAACCCATAATACAAAGCATATAAATATGTTGACAAAAAAAGCATATAAATAATGTACACAAATCACGTAAAAGCCATAAAAGAAATGAAGCTACTAAGACATCACTTCTTCAGATTCTCTTTCGTGGTTTTGATCTCTCACTTCTAATAAAACCAAATAAAAATTATAAAAAGAATAATGAGAATCAGCTCTAAAGAACTCCAAAGAGGTTTGCCAGTATCGTAGGTATAATCAACCTCCACTTATGGTCTGTGTCTCTATAATATCAAAAGTAATATGTAAGAAACAAAGAAGACAAACATCAAAACAAAATGGAAAAACA